TTCAGCAGGGTGGCCCATCACTTCTGTGCTGTCTTTAAAAGACAATTCAGGTGCAATGCAACTCTGTTCTCTTATCAACCAACTGCACGTCTTTACAAGCAGGTTTCACCACAGGAATTTATACAAACTGAGCTCTGACGGCACTGAAAGATAAAGGTCAGCCTCTATGTAGCTGCACAGGTGGATCTCCTCAGTCCTGTGTTAGATTGTGTAATGTTTGCTTGTAGGTAATCCTGCAATGATAAATGCGTAACACCTGTAGGTTAAGGTCAGATGTTCCATTGTTGTAAGAGATGGAAACATGTTGCAATCACACTACAGAGATCTCAAAGACATTTTTGTTAACAGTTCACAAGATGATGCACAAACAGTATGCTCTTTTTAATGACTAGTCATACCCATTAATTAAAGACAAAAAATGAAGGCCTTGAAATTTCAACAACTGCTTGTGTTATATAAATAAAGACCACAATATAAATACTGATGCAATTGTAAACACTAACTTCTTGCTCATCTTTGTCAGTCCATCTCTTCTCACACCTTCAAATCTGTTTAAACATTCTCCTGCTTCTGACTGAAAAACTCTGACTTTAGTGAAGCAGCTGGTGGTCAGAGCTCCATAACAAGTCTTCATGTTCAGTTCTCTGCAAACTGCGATTAGGCAATTAGATGCCTGCAAGGGCTAAAATTATTGACCAATAAGTCAGTTGATCCAATACAAAATGAATCAAACTATTTTGATAATCATGCAATCCTTGCTTAAACTGGTTTAATGGCTATGCGTAATGTCAAAGGTGTTCCTTGTCCTGACCAAAGATGGAGCTAAAAGGAAAAGCGAATGTTGAACTTAAATTTGTTGGATGAACTGAAATTCTCTGGGTTTTAGAGCAGAGACACACCAAGCTGATGTGAAAGAACTAGCAGCAATGAAGGCTGACCTCTGCGTCACCTCACATCACCTTTGCCTGGGCCAGTCAGGTTGAAAAAGTTGCACTTAAACACACCGCACAGAGTTCAGCCAACAGCCGACTATGTGAATACCTGTCTGTCTTGGTGTGTCTCTGCCCTTAGACCACTGATTGGACAAAACGGCCATTTTGAAGACATTAAATGGATGTCACCTGGGAGAAGCATAACACATGCAACATCAGAATGTTCACAGGTTGACCTGTGGGGTTTATCATAGATCTCTCTCTTTCCATGCATGTCCTGTCACTGATGAAAACATGCTTGTTTTGAATTCCACTTCCAGTGAAATCCAACTTTCACATTAAGTGTGATTAGCATTTCCTGGGAGGGGGGGGCGGTATTAGCACAGCAGAAAGATTAAGTATGGATGACTGGAACATAGTATGGGAGCCAATCTGAGAAATGCAAGAAGTCGGGAGTCATAAAACTATGCTCGCCTTGTGTACACAAAACTTGAAATCCACTCAGAGTTCACAATCCTGAAAGCACACTTTTTTTTTTTAAAGCGCCATTAGTTTTTGTCAGTGCTGGAAAGCCTGTGATTTCACCCACCTCTATTTGAGGATGCCTGAGGTGCAAATGTAATGCGCCTCTAAGTGAAAACTGATTGTCTTAAATATGCAAGAACCTAAATGTTATGTTTATTAAGGCAACATGCACTTTTTGATACAAGCCTTATGGCATGGATGGAGAGGAAATCAGAGGATATTTCCTTCAATCTTCCGCCACAGTAACAACAATTAATAATTGATTGACTGTGCTCACTGGGTTGTGCTGTGTGCCACCACAGGAATCCAGCTGTTAAATGCCCAGTCATGCAGAGCAAGCAGAAGCACTTGCTGGCTTTCACCCAGTGGTGGTGTGTCCTAAGACCCCTACAAGCAGACTTCTAGACCCCCGCTGTGCAAACTACAACAAGCACTCCGTTTCCCAGTCTCTGGAGCAAAGCGTGCATACACAAGTAAACAAAGTCATTATGGGTAAATAAAGTGAAATGAATGGAAGTGACTTATGATCTCATAATGCTCAGTGACCAGAAACCAAAAGGCAAAGAGGTGAACCTTTGCAAGCCAACAAGTTTCAACTCACAATTCACTCTTTTAACCCAAACCATGGCCCCAAATG